GGGAAGAGTTGGGGCTTAAGCTAAAGCAACGGGAAGGCACGTGCCTGCGTGGAGCCGAGTCCCAAGGGCAGGCTGCGGCTGGAGTGGCTGTGGTGTAGACTGGGAGGGAGAGGGGGGCCGATGGAAAGGGGAGCAATCGGCTAGACTGAGCGGGCAGAATGAACAGACCTCGGCGAGAGGAGGGGACGGACACCCCGATTTCTGGTCTGAGCAAAAAGGGGGCTTGCTGGGCTGTGTCCTGAGAAGGAGGTCCTGGGGAAGTTCACCTACTCACCCTCATATTCGGCTTCAGTCATCAATACATGGAAGTGCTGAGGAGAGCAGAAGGGCCGGGCAAGGCTGCCTGCCACCGAGGGTGTACGGCCGGCCGGTGGGAGTGAGACCACGTGTGAATGCGACCCCGTATTTCCGATGGCAAAGCTGCTCCTGCACGTTCGCCAAGTAATTCAACTTCTGGAGAATGATCTGAAGGAAGAAGTCTAAGAAAACACTAACTCAACAGATCCTTTATTGAGCAGCCATCACACACGCCAGGCATCATTTGGCTGGAGGCCAGGGACCCACAGACATGGCCCGACCTGCAGGGGGTTCACAGGAAAAGGGGTCCCGGGAAAGCTGGGACCTGCACAAAATCACGGTGATATAGGGAAGGACATGGGCCCTAAGTAGTCCCACATTAGTAGCCAGATAACATACGGGACGTCCGTTTATTTGTGATTTCAAATAAGTGAGTGTGGCAAGTCTGTCCCCAATGTGGCATGGGACATAAACTAAGCTATTTGAAATTACAGATGGGGCACTGGGATGTGTTTGTGTGATACAACGAACTACCTAGATTCCAAAGAGGGAACAGTATACTTGCACACTAAAATATTTAAAAATAAGTAAAATACCAGAGTCTTCAAAGCATTATACTGCAATAAAAAAATGTTAGTCTAAGTATAGCCCATGCAATTTTTCAGACATAAACATTATTCAGTTGACCTGAATTTAAAATTTAATTCACATTGAGCTGGGTGGGTGTCCTATATTTTAATTTGCTAAATCTAACCACTTTACATGGTATGTAATCTTCAGTCACCCACTGCCTTCATCGTTCCTCCTAACACAGCCATTTTATTGGTTATTTCTAAAATACAGCCAGTTGTGAACTTAAACTGGGTGACTGTTGCCCCCTAGTGGTAAATTCACCCAATGCCGGAGCTTTCAGCGTCCCACCTAAGTCACTGGATTCAACACAGTACCAGCTACAATGGTGAAAAACTAGAGGCTACTTTCCTGGACCTTGCCATTAGAAGGATACTTTGGCATGAAATACCCCCTGGAAGGGCGCTAGATAGATATGCAGCTACAGATGGGCACGGAGACGCTCGGATGGGGAGGTCGTTTAGGAAGAATCCGAGTGGAGGTTGTACCTTGCGCTCTAGAACTCACAATCACTTCTCTAAGGAAAATTCCAGTGCACCGAAGCATTGCAGATTTTGGGAATGGATTATAGAGATGTGTGCACAAGCTGACGCCATGTTATGTTATATACTTAAGGACTAATTTCAATCTTTTACATCTACTGAAGGGATGGGAAAATGTTTCCTCCTGCATTCACTAACTCTTCCTTCAGTACTCCTGGTGTCCTGAGCACAATTTGAAGAAGGGGATGTGTGCTGAGTCACTCTGAGAACAAATGTTTCATTTCAACCAATCACTGAGGTATAAGGTTTTATATCCTTCTTCTTCCCCAAGGCCTCTTTCCCCTTGTCCTGTCGACTCTGCCTCTTTCCCTTTGCTCAGTGGAGGGAGGATGGAGCTCAGTGACTGCTCCGTCCTCAGTGGCCTTCTGCTAGAACATTAGCTTCAGCAGGGACAGAGGCGGGAAGGGCAGGAAGCCGGCATGTCCTTCTCGCGAATAACTTACGGAGCTCCTGCTTCCTGCCTGATCTACCCTTGGGGAGCTAGAACTAAGCACCACAAATATGTCCCTTTACTTATATGGCCCACAAGTGTCATCATCCTGTGATTAAATCCCAAATGAAAAGACAGCCGTAGTGAGGAAAGCCTGATGTCACTGATACCTGTCCCTGCAGTTAGACGACTTCGGTTTCTTGGGATCAAATATGTTATCTGCTTTCTTACCCATTTTGGAAAAAATTTGAGGAAGCCTAGTAAAAACACAAACATAGAGGGCCCTCCCTGGTGGGTGAAAGCACAGCATTAAGAAGCTAAAGCCATTTCCGCATGAGTTCGATCCCTGCCTGCCCCGCAAGTGACCCCAAGGGTGCGGCAGACCTCTCCTGGCCCGCCCGCTGCTGCCCTCAGCAGTGTACTTCGTTGATCTGCTGGTCTGCTCCCCACTGTGTCTCTGGGATCACACCCTGGGCTGAAGGATGCCGTGCACCAGGGAGAGAGGAGGGGGGAGGGGCCCCACCTTTATGCTGAGAGTAAGGAAAGATTCTCAGACAAATCCAGAGGTACCTGGACGACACCCCTTAAATGGCATCCTTCAAAGTCACATAAAGGGCGATCGGGCCTTAGGTGATCGGGACTAGGATTGACTGGGCTGGGGACAGAGCTGCTGTCTCGCGGCTGCTCCCCTTTGTACTGTAAACATGCTCTGAGGCCCGCAGGTCTCGTGGGCCTCGGTCCCACACGGGGTGCCCGGGAAGCCCTACCCTGCCCACCGACACTTTGGGGGAGACGGATCCTACGATGTCTGTTCATCTTCAGGCGCCAGCTGAGTAGACGGCAGGACAGGTTCGCTTACACGTGGGGTTGAGGGGTGTCCGTGGCTAGAGCTTATCCCGGGACAAGAAGTTCACGTGGGAGCAGAGCAGCTGAGTTCAGGGACGCAGCTACGCACCATCACAACCTCAGGGCGGCTGTGCCGCAGCAAGTGTTAGGTCGAGGCTGTGAGAAAGCCAGAGCAAGCCAAGGGGCTGGTATCTCTGACGGGGCGCATGGCAGCCTCCACACTGTGCTGGTACAGGCCTCAGTCCCGGGTCCTCCAACATTCTTTGAAGGCACCAGCAACTCTGGTACATAAGAGGCAAATACAACAAGATCAAAGACTCTAGTGTTTGATCAAAGGTCTAGTGTTTATTGTAGAAAAATTACTGCAATAGAGCGTAATGTGAAAACATACGCGAGATTAAAGTTAGAAGTTTTTTTGTATAAAACTACAAAAAACTTGGTTATACCCTTCCACAAAAACACAGCAAAACGTACCAACAGGGTGAGCAGGACCCACTTGGTCCAAATTCGAGGTTTTGCCCACCTGAGAGTTACTTTCTGCACACCTGTGTGCAAGTATGGCGCTGCTGTGGATGCGGGGGGGCAGGGCGATGAGGGGTGTCCCTGTGCTAGCGGGGAACAGACACCTGGCAGGTCAGGGGGGCACAGGCCCCGGGAGGAGGTGCAGGGGGAACACAGGAGCTGTGCGTGCTCCCCATTCTTAAAAGCAACCCAAGGCTGCCTGACAGGTCGCAGCCTGCAGACAAGATCCAACCGCCGAGTGTCCGGGCTGGGAATTTCTGGGACTTCCCAGCTCCGAGATCCGAGCAGGGCTGCAGGAGGAAGGCACGCGGCCCCTCCCTGAGTGCACGGAGTGCGTGTGCCGGTGTGTCTGGGTCCCTGTCGGGACTTTCACTGATTAGTCAGCCCAGTCTGGCCCCAAGACACACCCTTCCACAGCATTCTTAGGTATTCTGCTCTCTGTAAGCATCTGATTTTGTGGGCAGTTTCATGGTGCCCCGGCACAGCATTTCCAGTAAACGAGGCAGAAAGACACCTGCCACCTTCCCAGCAGGTGTGGCCTGACGATGCTCGGCGCAGCCTCGGTGCAGGCAGGGCCGCCGCGGCCTTTCCGGGCCAGAGACGAGGAGGAGCTGGCTGGTGGGCCGCTGCTGCTCAGATGCTCACTCACTCAGATGGAACCAGAGGCTGACGCACTTGACACCCCGACATCGAGGGTCCTACCGCCTCCTCAGCGCCTTCCAGTTTCCGCGTCTGGGTTATCCTTCCTGTGCGGCCCACAGAACCTGTTTCTTCTTAGGCCCAGTGGGAGGAACTTGTCTCCTGAGGTGAGTCTGGGCCGGGGAGCGGGCCACTGGCCTGCAGGTGTGAGGGGTGCTGATGGCCCCTGGAGTCAGGCTTGTGCAGAGAGGGCATGGCCGGAGGCGGGTCCCTCCAGGACTCTTCGCCGAGAAGCGTCTCTCAGGGGTCTGGGTCTCCCTGGTCCCCACTACTACCCAGGTCTCGACGCCTGGACTCAGGGAGCAGAAAGTGCTTGGACAGCTCTGCAGAGCTGCGTCTGTGTATGGGGGTTGGGGGGCTCCCTGCCCTCCCAGACGGCTGCTTTCATCCTTCTTTTCTATCAGGAGAACCTGTCACGTCAGAGATGATAGTGACGTAAACAAAACTTCCCTGCATGCTCTGCACAGCCTGGTTCTCCCCTCCCCCCCTTTTCTGGCAGCAACAACTGCAGTTGAGAATTTTGCCTGAGAATTCACCGAGATACCTGCTCTCCCCTCCTATGGGGATATCCACGGAGAACCCCAATATCAAGTCTTTTAAAAATAAGCTATGGGAGCCTTTGGAGAACATAATTTTTAAAATTAGGTTTTTCTTCCCAGTTAATGTGTCCCTGGCCTTGACAACAGCTAACTTGCATTTTCTTGAGTCCATGCTGGCAGAGTGGAAGAACACCTGGGTGCTTCTCTAGATGGAGAAGCCAGCCTACTATCAAGAACAGCAGAGAAGAGCCATCAACACAAGCACCTCCAGCGTGTCAGCACCTGAAGACTGGTCCTGGTTTCCTGAAGGCCCGTTTTGCATTTCCCCATCTCCTGAGTGCCTGATAAGGAGCTTCTGTCCTAATGTCACGCAGCAGGATGGCTTGACATACAGTAAAAGGTGACCTGGCTTTAGTCCCAGCCTGGACAGGCCAGGCAGCTGGGCACAGGCGTCAGTGTTCTTGGGATAAACAGATACAATCCCCCTGAGAGTTTTTAAACTCACACCTGTTTCCTTGTCTGGCATCCGTGCTGTTTTCTTGAGGACTTTCCAGAAAATCAGGCATTAGTACTCATTAGACTTTCTTAAAGAAAGTTTTTAAGGGCCTATGTCAATGTCAAAAGAACAAACCAAATGTTCTAAATGTCTCCTGAAGAACAAGGAACCTCAATACTGGTGATGAGGCGGCTGGATGCCAGATGCCGTGGCCAGCAGGGCCTGACTGCCAAAGAGCACAATGCGGTCCTTCCCACGGGCCAGCACAGGGCGCTCACGACGGCCTCAGGTGGTGGGGTGGGCTGTGCAGACACAGGACTGTGTGAGCCTACACCCCAGGTCACACTCAACGCTGGAGTCATGTTCCTGTAACAGTTATAGTTTTTAAAAGCTGGCATGAGAAAGAAGGATGGCATCGTCTGGATTTAACTCACAGGGTTAGGGCTCATGACAAGCCTTTCCAGAACATGGGGGAAAAAAACCTTTCTCCAAACTCCTGCAGCGTCACCAGCGCATGGCTGGTGTTGGGCTGTATGTCCAGCAGCTGTTTCCTTGTTCAGCAAATCTCTTAGCAGCTACTGAGTGGAGCAGGGAACTTGGGCTCCATGGGGAGGTCCCAGACGCTGTACCACATCCGAGTTCACTGCCGGACACGGAGCTTCCTGTTGTGGAAAGTCACTGCTTGCTTTATTGCCACTATTCTCATCTTCATTAGAATAGTTGCCCGAATCTTCACTGGTTTGGGAGCTGTACTTTTTGTAAACTTCCTCAATTTGATTAATCTCTTTAACTGGAATGCCAGAGTTTGAATTTTCAATGATAAAACATCTTTCAGTTTGTTCGTCCAAAGTGAAAAGGAGGAGATTCGTCAGTGGTTGTTCAGACAAGTACTAGTTTAAATAAGGGAAAGAATAAGAATGGGTTACGTAAAATCATAAAAATTAGTTTTCTAGATCTAAAGCTTTAGTTTCCTATGTCCGTTATCTAGAAAACCTGTCTTTTGGCATGCATCTTCAAAGTAAACTAAGAACTCATCAACTGCGTGATCATGTGTAGTATGAAATCACCCCACGAGGCCCCATCTTAATACCTTCTTTGGGGCCCCTATGAAGAGGACCTAAGGGAGAGGCTGGTAGCTGCCAGGGGCCGGGGGAGGGAGCGGAGGACATGAGGGGACACTGAGTCTGTGCACTTTGAAATGATACTTTCTGTATCCAACCCACAGACACCCGCAGAAGCACAAGCGTAACTTTCCCTGGTCAGCCAAGAATGGTTAGCTGTTGCTATCAGCTCTTTTTAAGTACTTTGAATAATAGCTATGAATGTGAGTGTCCGCAGGAGTGGCATTTAACACCCAGGATGGCACAGGAAGCTTGTCAACGGTCACGGGCTGGCAGGCGCTGGCCCTTCTGGGCTGAGCCCTTCGTTTGCGTCAGGGCTGCGGGGAAGTATCAGCTTCCCTCAGGCTAGTGCCAAAGCCTAAGCTCTTGACTACTCCGCCTCTGAAGTGTCTAGAAACCCACCTGAGGGGCGCATCCTCCTGCCCCCCAGTCTGTGCCAGGGTGTCATCATTTCGTGCTAACTTCCTAAGGGCCAAAGAGAGCCCAGCGAGGAAATTCACGTGATTTCACCCACAGAATATTCTTTCCACACTGATGGTGTTCAGCCTATTGTTAAACGGCAAAACACACGCCAGAATACTTATACTTCCAGAAAAATATGAGATTAAGGGCAATTCTTACTATTTTGTTAGATTATTTTAGTGACTTTTCTTTTGAAAATCAATTAAATGCAATCAACATAGTTATATTTGTAACAAAACTATTTTATATCATCCTATCTCCAATCTTAGTCCTCTGTCTTCACAGAATTGTGAAAACCTGGTATACCTAATTCCAGAATATATTCTGGCTTTTCAAGACATATTTTTACTTAAAAATGCTTTTCACTTCTCTATTTACATTATTGACGATTTCTAAAGTTCACTGAAATTTTAAAGAAAATACCCAAATGATTCTGTTTGCTGAATAGAAAGGAAACATATATATATTGGACTGAAATGGAGCATTTCCCATTCATTCATCGAAAGAAAAGTCCCACTACTGACAAAAGCAACCTACCTCATTGATAGCGGAAGGAGGTTTACTTGACGGGAAGAACACATAATTGACACATCTCAAGAGGACTTTCACAAAACAGATGACAATTGGGATACAAATTAATGCCGTGCAAATTCCAACTATAATGCTGATTTTGGAAGTATTTCCTAAAAACAGGTAAAGGATGGTCAGAGCCAATGTGTTCGGACACACAAACATGCTAACAATGAAGATGGTCTCGTGGCCACTGTAGCTCTCAAAGAAGTGTCACAGACAGGCAACACCCACAGAAGTCTGCCGGCGGCCTGAGCACACGCAGCTGCAGCAACGGCACTGCCACATATTCATTTATTCTTTTAAGATTTATTTATTTATGCACATGGGAGCTGGGTACAGGCCAGAGAGGTGTGTGTGGTGGTGGGTGGGGGGTGATGAGAGGATTCCCCAGAGACGGGGTGGAAGCAGAACAGACAGATCAGTGAAGTACACTGCTGAGGGGAGCTGCAGGGAGACAGGAGAGGTCTGCTGCACCATGTGGGTCACTCCCTGGCTGGGGATCAAACTCGTGCTGAAGCGGCTACAGACAGCTTCATGGTGCTGCGCTTTAACACGTTGAGCCACCAGGGAGGGCGCGGCATTTCCATTTAAAGAGTGACTGAGGAAGTGAAACAGGAGATTCTGAGTGAGGAACAGTTCCCAACATGTCTGCAGCAAACAACTCATACAATTAAAACACATTCTGTGACTAGACAAAGCAGGGAAAACTGTTCCCACATAATAAAATTCACTATTGATCTAAGGGATGCCCACATAATCAAGGGTTAGGTAAAGAAAATTAAAAAGTCTCATTAGGAGCCGCCCTGATGGCACAGAGGGTTAAAGCACAACACTGTGGGGCTGTCCACAACCACTGCAGCACCAGTTCGATCCCCAGCAAGGGAGTGACCCACATGGTGCGGCAGACCTCTCCTGACCTGCCCGCTGCTCCCCTCAGCAGTGTGCTTCGATCCCCACCCGGGAGGAGACACACAGGGCACAGCAGAGTTCTCCTGTCTCCACGCTGCTCCCCTCAGCAGTGTACTTCATCCACCTGCCTGTTCTGCTCCCCCCTGTCTCTGGTGAATCCTCTCACTCCCTGCACCTCTGGCCTGTACCCCCCCAGCTCTTGAATGCATAAATAAATAAATAAATAGTTTCGGGGCCCTCCCTGGTGGCGCAGCGGGTTAAAGCGCAGCACTGAGAAGCTAAAGCCACTTCAGCATGAGTTCGATCCCTGCCTGCCCCTGAGGTGACCCACATGGCGCTGCAGACCTCTCCTGACTGCCCGCTGCTCCCCTCAGCAGTGTACTTCGTTGATCTGCCTGTTCTGCTCCTCGCTCTGTCCCTGGTGAATCCTCTCACCCACCACACCTCTGCCTGCACCCCAGTTCTGTAAACATAAATAAATACATCTTTCAAAAAAAAAAAAGAGTAAGATTAAAGGAAATTATGAAAATATTCTACATGTTTCAATGAGTCAAACTCTTCACTAAGTGTAGTTAGTTGAACAAGAAAGGCGCACGCAGGTCTGACCTGGCCACGTCTTCTCACACACTGCACTGCTGAAGGCGCTGCTCTTTTTCTTGTCCACGGAGACGGCTCTGGCTTTGACGCAATACACCGTCAGTGTTTTCAAGTTTGGAATAGTGACCTCGGTTTTCTCTAGGATTATGCTCTATAACAAAGTAAGAAAATTACTGGTAACCTGTAGTTGCTTCATGAAGTCAGAGAGGGATTAGCTATTTCCCGAGTTCTTCAAATATTTAACTGATGACTGGCCTCCACCAAATACTTCACTGGGTATCAGCTGTTTCGGACACATTATAACCAGATCTGAAAGTTCAAAATGTTGTGGCCCAGAAAGCACGTGAACCGGCTCATTTAGAGGCCACTGTACCCTTTTGCTGAGCAGTCAAAGTGTTCAGATTTGGGATCCTGGCTGCAACCTGCCTTATTGAGGAATTGCTCAGAGTCATGTAGCCTTATGCAAATTATTTAACTTCTCAGGGTCCTAGTCCAGGCCTGCAAAATGAGGAAAATGAGTACTCCTACCTGTGTAAATTCTTGATTGCCATAGCAATGTGGGGTACAGGGGAAACATTGCCAACAATCACTACAAGGTGACCTCGTGCAATGCTGTGCGATATTTATGTTTCCCACCCAGGACAGGCTGGCTGGGGTGCTCTCTCTGAGGCTGAGGTCACATGGAGGGGCCCCACAGCCTCTCAGCCCTGGAGCAGAGGTCCCGTCGGGCATGCATATTTTCTGGCCATCAGGAACAGCGCAGGAGGTAAGCAAAACCATGCATGTGTGTGTGTGTGTGTGTGTTTTATAATGTTTATTTATTTGTGCATACAGAACTGGGGTACAGGCCAGAGGTGCGGGGGCAGGGTGAGAGGATTCACCAGAGACAGAGTGGGGAGCAGAACAGGCAGGTGGATGAAGTACACTGCTGAGGGGAGCAGCGGGCGGGTCAGGAGAGGTCTGCCACGCCATGTGGTCACCTCCGGGGTTGGCGGGGATCGAACTCATGCGGAAGTGGCTTAAGCTTCTTAGTTCTGTGCTTTAACCCGCTGCGCTACCAGGAAGGGCCCGCATGCATGTTTTTAAGGCCTCTGCTCACGTCATGCTCACAGGTAAGCCCAGACCCTCTTGGCTGGCAAGGCTGCTCTGGAGCGTGGCGGAGACAAGCCGTGTGGAATACTCCGCACAGAGCCTGGTGCGCAGTGAGGTCCAGTAAGTAGAGGCGCCATGACCAGCAGAGGCCAGGATGGCAACCAGGAGTCACTGAGTTGCTATTGTTTGTCGAGAGATATTTCCATTTACACTGCCTCATTTTAAGCCTTACAAATATCCTTAAAAAAGATTCAGTTTTGGGCCCTCCCTGGTGGCGCAGCGGGTTAAAGCACAGCACTGAGAATCTAAAGCCGCTTCCGCATGAGTTCAATTCCCGCCTGCCCTGGAGGTGACCACATGGCGCGGCAGACCTCTCCTGACCTGCCCGCTGCTCCCCTCAGCGGTGTACTTCACTGATCTGTCTGTTCTGCTCCCCACTCTGTCTCTGGTGAATGTATGCACAAATAAATAAATCTTTAAAAAAAAAAAAAAAGATTCAGTTTTGGCCCTCCCTGGTGGCGCAGCGGGTTAAAGCACAGCACTGAGAATCTAAAGCCGCTTCCGCATGAGTTCAATTCCCGCCTGCCCTGGAGGTGACCACATGGCGCGGCAGACCTCTCCTGACCTGCCCGCTGCTCCCCTCAGCGGTGTACTTCACTGATCTGTCTGTTGTACTTCATTGATCTGCCTGTTCTGCTCCCCACTCTGTCTCTGGTGAAGCCTCTCACCACCCCTGAGCCTCTGGCCTGTACCCCAGTTCTGTATGCACAAATAAACCTTTAAAAAAAAAAAAGATTCAGTTTCTGGGCCCTCCCTGGTGGCCCAGCAGGTTAAAGCACAACAGTAAGAAGCTAAAACCACTTGCGCATGAGTTCAATTCCCGCCTGCCCGGAAGTGACCACATGGCGCGGCAGACCTCTCCTGACCCGCCCGCTGCTCCCCTCAGCAGTGTACTTCCTTTGTCTGCCTGTTCTGCCCCCCACTCTGTCTCTGGTGAAGCCTCTCATCACCCCTGCACCTCTGGCCTGTACCCCAGTTCTGTATGCATAAATAAATAAATCTTAAAAAAAAAAAGATTCAGGTTCCATGAAGAGGAAATAAATGCTCACCAAGGTAGTGCTTTGCCCAAGGCTGCACAGTTTGGGAGCCTGTGACAAGACTTGCCCCTCACTGTGGGACAGCAGAGAACTGGCCTGATTCTCCAATGAGTGTGTTACGCTCTGGTCCAAACGAAAGCAGCCAAGTCCGCGGAGTGTTCTTAGATGTCACAGAATCTACTAGCGCAACTGCACGTGATTTTTGAAGGTTGATCCCTCAACTTTAATTCCAAAGGGAAAAATGACACAGGGATAATATGGGGCGTCTGATGTTGTGGATCGTCTTTGTCAGAGGTTTCTGATTTTGTGGGTTTGACCAGTGTTTCTCAACACCCTTTTTCGTGACAATTGGCCCTATCATGTCTCCTTAGACAATTTTTCTCTAATTCCTCTGCCAGCAGGAAGTTAGAGACTGAGGAATAAGACTTTATTGGGCCAAAGTGAACTTCAGAGGTGTGTTCTCCCGGGGCACAAACCACTGCAGAGACTGTTTTCTCCACCAAGAATCAGTTTTTGTGCCAGGGCCACTTTCTTGGCCCCGACCTGGGGAGAACGGGCAGCATCTGGAGCTTTTGGTGGTGGTTGTAACTGGGAAGCTGGCAGAGATGCCGCTGGGCATCTGTCATGGCAACGTGGCATGAATCAGCCCATTCAAGAGTCAGCCATGCCGAGAAACCCCAGTTTAGCGGAATACCTGGGGACCCTGCTAAAATGCCACTTGTGAGCCCCACTCCCACATTCCAGTGAGGTCGAGCGGGCTCAGGGGCTGTATTTATGAAGCAACCTGGGGTGCAGGTGGAGGTGACTCGTGTCTGGGGTCACCTCCTGTTCTTCCCTGGGCACATCTAAGCTGATGAGAGAAAATCTGACAATGCCCCTAGAATTTTGACACTAAGCTTTGTTTACATCGAATCATCGTTCTAACTCGAAGAAGTTACAAAATTATAACACACAGTCTTCTTACCTTGGTATCTGAAGGATGTTCCCAGAAGACAACTTCATAAGTGATGGGGTCATTCTGCCCCACTGGCCTGTTTTCGGAATCTTTCGGGGCGCTGATAGAGACCCGCAGAGAATTCTCACTGGTGGCCTTCACGGAGATGACAGGAGCAGGGATGACAGCTGGAAGGGCCATAGAGAAGCGTGTTTAGTGGAGACCAGAAAGACAGCCTTCGTCTGCCCCTGAGGAAGGGTTATAAGCTTTACTGAACACGATGGGCTTACTTTGCATTTTGTTATCAAACTGCTTCTCTTCAGACCAAAAAGACGTGTTAGTTCCATTAGATGCTTGCACACGGATAAAGAGACTTCCTTTCGGAAAAATACTCTTAGGAAAGACACACTGGGTCGTCTTGATGTTTGTACAGTTTGGTATTTGCGTCCATTTATCTGAATGGTTCCCATGAACCTTTAAGTAGGCACTTTGAAGACAAAAACATTTTTTTTTATTCCAAATACATCCATCCTGTGTATATTTATTAAGGAGCTATGAATGCCTGCCATTCTGTATGGCGCCCAGGAGGCTAACGGGTCCTGCCCTTGGGAATCTGCGAGACAGTGAACACGTGTGTGCTGCACAAAAGAAAACCCGAGTTTTCGCTGCAGGTGTGAAGAGGGGTCACACACCAGCACACCTTGCAGCATGCAGGACAGATGGTCTCACTCCAGGAAAGCTGCGAGCCAGCCACTAAACACAGACATCAACAAAAATACAATTACACAGACTTACGGATCAAGACACCGCAGTAAAATAAGTAACAAATACCCCAAACTCATGTTGTTTCCCAAATATCACAATCAGCTTTTGGTCAGCCTGCAGGTGCTAGCGAGAGGAAGAGAGCAGCAGAACAAACCGGGGAAAATAAACCGGGCACAAAGAGATGCATAGACCAGCACTTACTACAGCCACTGAGCTTGGAAGGTCACGCCTTCGTACAGGTAATCCCATGTAAGGATATAGCTCTGATTTGTAGCCTCCATTTGTATATTTTCTGGTGGAGGCAGTACATTTTCAGCTGGAAGACAAAATATAGGAACAAGCACATAGTTTAATTCTAGTGAGACAACGTATCTGTAAGGATTTTTTTTTTATTATAGTAGTTTATTTTTACATACTTTTGTGCATTTTTCCACCTCAGTTGCAATGTATCTGTAAGGATTTTTCACAGCAAGGGGCAAGAAGAGGAAAGGCTGATGTTTTATCACTACGAGGTAGTAGCTGAAGTACCACACACGCACGAGCTAACATGCAGCCTTTTAAAAGAAATGACCGGGCCTCCCTGGTGGCGCAGCGGGTTAGAGCACAGCACTGAGAAGCTGAAGCCACTTCCGCATGAGTTTGATCCCCGCCCTGGAGGTGACCACATGGCGTGGCAGACCTCTCCTGACCCGCCCGCTGCTCCCCTCAGCAGTGTACTTCGTCAGTTCAGCCTATTCTGCTCCCCACTCTGTCTCTGGTGAATCCTCTCACTGCCCCTGCACCTCTGGCCTGTACCCCAGCTCTGTGTGCATAAATAAATAAACCTTAAAAAAATAAATAAAAGAAATGATCTATATGTCCTGACATACAGAGATTCTCAAAACACTCAAACAAGGAAATTGTAAAATATATCTATTTAAAAAATGACTTCCCCCAAACCGTGTCTGTGTGTAAATGTTCACAGAAGTTCGGAAAAGAGTATGGAAGGATTCATACAGACACAATGCCTGTTTCTGGCAAGTGGAACTGGACATTAGGAGTCGGATAGGGAAGCCTGAACACGTGAACCTTTCTGCACTGCTCGATTTTAAACATAAAGCAAATTAAATTTATAATGAATAGAATTTAACTCCTACCTTTCACCTTAACTGCTAGCCAAGTAAATATGTCAGGTTTTAACATTTCACTTTTAAAGGTCCACTTTTCAGAAGGCACACTTTTCTAGCAATGACATACCTATGTTGGGGATTCTGAACAAATGGAGGTTTGTTTTTGTCATTAGAAAATACTTTGACTTATAAGCAGAATTAATTTTCTTACTTTAGAGAAAAATTCCAGGTATCCTTTTTTCTTACGTAAATATGATTATAATATTTTTTTGGAAAAATGCCAAAATAAATTAATTGCCAACCTATATATATAGAGTAGTTATTGAATCTAAAGCAAAATTTCCTCCTTACCCTTGGTATTTATACAATATACCGGACTATATAAACCAATTTTTTTCTCGGAACCTGATTTATAATTTGCTCTGACTTTTAAACAATAAGTAGTTTCTGGTGTGAGTTTATAAATTTTATCTCCAGGAATAACAGTTTGACTTCTTTCCTGTAATAAAAAATTAGAAGTCTGTTAATTTACAAAGCATCAAGTCAAATTTTAGAATTAACTTTTAAATCAATCCACATTTTTCCCATCTCAAACGTAAGAATAATGCTTACTTCCATACTTGAAGAGTTTTTCCAGATGACCAAGCTATATGTAAAGCTGTTTCTTTCAATAACCCACATGATGCCATCGTGTTTTCCAGGAGGAGAGATGTTCACTACTATTGCTTTATCTTCAGCTTTCAAATGTACCTCTGGAGGACCAATCTGAGCTGTGAACATCAGAACACTTGCTACATGACTTCGTTATTACCATGCCAAAACACTCACTCACAAATAATTCTGGTTACCAAGGGAGTCTGCATTTTAGGGAGTGAAATGGCAGAAAATGCCAAGTGAACAAAGGCGATAATGTCATGTGTGTCTTGAAGAACAAGATAAGGGACATTGGGGCCTTCTGGGTAGGGCAACAGGTTGGAGCCTAGCACTGTGCAGCTGTCTGCAACCACTGAAGCAAGAGTTCGATCCCCAGCCCAAGAGGTGACCCACATGGCGCAGCAGACCGCTCCAGACCCGCCCACTGTTCCCCTCAGCAGTGTATTTCAGTCAGTCGGCCCCGCTTCTGCTCCCCATTCTGTCTCGGGTGAACCCTCTCACACCTCCACTGCCAGCCTGTACCTCAGTTCTGTGTGCATAGATAAATAAATCTTTGAAAAAGAAAGGGACATGAAAGCACAGGGAATGCTGCTGCAGAGAAGTTCGTCAGGAAAAGCCTCTGAGCCATGGGAGCTGATTCCCGAATCGAGAAGGGAGTGAGTCACCTCTGAGCCATGGGAGAAGGGAGTGAGTCACACAGGTGTCTTGGGCTGAGGGTGCATCACGGCCAGGCCCTAAGAGGGAACAGGCATGCCTAAGAAATGGGGGCTCAGCGGCTGAGTGGGTGGAAATGAGAACAGACTTCCAAGAAGAATTCTGTTCTGAGTAGAGGCTGTGGAGTTCTGGGGGCTGAGACGAGAGAGTGCCCCGACCTGACTAACATTCTGGAAACATCTACCTGGTTAAGGCTGGAGGGGAGGTGCAGGAGATCAGTGAACAGCTATGGTGAAGTGAGGAAGGTTGGAGTCTGGTGGGGCGGGGTGATTAGGGGTGAGGGTTCAGGATATAATCTGAGGGGGGCTCATTGGGAATTTGCTGTTGGGCTGAGGGGGTGCATGTGGGCTGAGGCGGAGGGGCAGAGATGACAGCGAGGCTTTGGCCTGAGCAAATGAACAGGAAGTCGTTAACAGAGAAGAAAAAAAGCTGCAAGAAGAGAAGGTTTTGAGGGGGAAATCAGGAGCTGGAGCTTGGTCTACTCAGCCACGGTTGACCTGAGCGGACTGAGTGGAGGGTGCGGGGGTGGAGGTGCAAGGCAAGTCACTCCCAGCGCTATTACAAATAGTTGTGACTGTACATCTCCTGAAAGGCTGTAGGGACCACATTTTGAGAACCACCAGCATCAGAGAAGCAGAAAGGTGGGAAATACATAGCAGGAAGGAAATAAGGGTTTAAGGAAAGCTTTTTTCTTGTTTTAAAAAGACAGGTGATTTTGCTTCAAACATATGAACGGAGGGCCCTCCCTGGTGGAGCAGCGGGTTAAAGCACAGCACCAAGAAGCTGAAGCCACTTCAGCATGAGTTCGATCCCTGCCCCGGAGGTGACCACATGGCGTGGCAGACCTCTCCTGATCACCTGCTGCTCCCCTCAGCAATATTCTTCATCAATCTGCCTGTTCTGTTCCCCACTCTGTCTCTAGTGAGTCCTCTCACTGCCCCTACAACCTCTGGCCTGTAACCCCAGTTCCGTATGCATAAATAAATAAATCTTAAAAAAAAACACAAACATATGAATGGGTTTGACAATTCAGCTGATCCCATGACATTTACTAAAGACTGGAATGCACTTTCCTACCTTTTCTGAAAGGCTCAAACGTGTACACTTTACACCAGGGGGAAGTGCTGTTTCCTTTTTCTGCTCTTACACGCAAATTAATTTCTTCATAGACATTTAGCTCCAGAGAAGAAAAGTCGCATCTGGTACCAGTGATATACTGACACCCAGGCAAATCTGACCAGTTAGTTTCTCCAGGTCTATAAAATAAAAAAGCAAGAGTGTATAAACACAAAGATGTGGCAAATACGTTTCTGTTCTGTACATCAAAAAGCTAGTTAAAGTAGTTATTTCTTCTACCTGGGTTAATGTCTCCTAAGAAGCAGAGAAAGAAGTGAGTGGTAACAAGGTTTTAGTGCCGACTTTGTTCAAAATAGCTGCGTGGACTGGACTCTTCAGGGCCGAGGGCGGCCTGAAGGACCACAGCTCCAGGGAAGAGCTGGAGTGAAGGGAGCGGCAGAAAACGGGCTTAGGATTTTATGGATGTTGCCCATGGGGACCCACTGCCTTAGCCCAGGCAGGTAAATATCCTGTGGGAAGGAATTTTTGTCAAGCCTGTGTCACAGTTGTAGCATTAGATGATTTTTTTTGGTGTGTGTCTGTATGGGGGACGTTCAGTTACTATTATTAATTTTAAAACAATTGTATCTTTTTTTAAATTGAGGTAACACTGATTTACAACTCTGTATATGATTTAGGGGTACTAGAAAACTTCTCTTCAGATGTTATTGCCCACACCAGCCAAGTCCCCCGGCACAGTACCGTGGGTGTGTTCTCCGCACCCCTGTTCTCCAGTGGCCTCTATTCTACAGATTTTAAGGGTTTGCTTTGGTCTGGTTTTGTCTGTTCCTTTGTTTTGTCTCAACATGAATGAAATCATCCAATATTTCCCTTTTTCCTGATTTATTTGGCTCAGCATGATCCCTCCAGTTCCATCCATTTTGTCTAAAAAGTTAAAATTTCTCTCTCTCTCACACACAATATTCTTTTGTGCATATATAGTACATTTTCTTAAACTACTCATCTGTCTTTGGGCACTCAGGTTGTATCCACAACTTGGTTATTGTAAATACTGTTACAGTGAACAGTGGAGGGGATAATCTCTTTGAATTTGTGTTTTTGCATCCTTTAGGTAAGATACCTATGCATGGAATTGCTGAATAATATAGTTGATCCACTTTTAATATGTTGAGAAACCTCTAAAACCGTTTTATCAATAGATGCAGAAAACACCTGAAAATATTCAACATCTATTTATAATTAAAAACTCTCCCAAAAATGGGGATAAAAGAAACATCTTAATATACAAGAAAGTCACATGACAAGCCATAGCCAATATCATCCTCAATGGTGAAAACCTGAATACTTTCCTCGAAGGTAAGGTACAAGACAAGGATGCCCATTTTCACCACTATGGTTCCACTGATACTGGAAGTCCTAAGTAGGAGCTACCAGGCTGGAGGAAGATACAAAAGGAACCCAAATTAGCAAAGAAGAAGTGAAACTATCACCATCTGCAGCTGACCTAATACACATAGAAAACCCTAAAGATGCCACTAAAAAGCTACTAGAAGCAGCAAATTGGTGCAGTGACGTGGCAGGCTAAAAAATCCACAGGCAAGAATCTGTCGTGTTGCTTTATAGAACCAATAAACTAGAAGAGCATGAAATCAAGAAACACTCGCATTCATCATGGCACCAAAAATAATTAAATACTTGGGAATAAATGTAACAAAAGAGGCACAAAACTGCAGAACAAATTCTCTATGACATCGTTGAAAGAAATAGAAGACACAGAGAAATGAAAGACGTTCCTTGCTCATGGGCCGGAAGAATAAGCATTGCTGAAATAACCATCCTCCCCAAAGCAAGACAGATCCAACGCAATCCCTCGCAAAGTTTCAGTGATGCTCTTCAAAGAAACAGAGCAAACTTTACTGATATGTGAGACCGCAAGATCCGGAGTAGCCACAGTTATCCAGAAAGGAGGGATAACACACCTCAGGCTGCCATTAGCTCTGGCAGTAAAGATACCTTAAACAAAATCATACTGGAGAAACTTTCCCGCATCAGAATTTAAATTCTAAGCTTAGATTCTGACACTTTTAGTTAAAATTTAACATTCAGATTAAAATTTTGATTCCCCCCCAAATGCTATTAGCAAACACAATTTCTAACAATGTAGGTGAACGGGCAGTCTAGAAGACGGCACAGGACAGGGACCTCTCTACATCAGGGGAACAGGGGCCAGACAAGATGAACTACAGGCACAAAGCCAGCACACGTCCATGGGCCACTCCCTGGAGAACTCTTACTAGTAACAGAAAACCTTGTCAAATGTGACAGTTGAAACTTGCCACGACCTCAGCCCTCGCCTCGCAGTCTTTCCTGCGCTGGGCAAAGCCTCCCACGGCTATAACCAACGCTCCTGCTGGTGAGGGGCCAAAGCAGAGGAGGCTGTTTCTGTGTTTTCTTAAGGGAAACACCACCACATCCCGCCTTGGAGGAGCACACCTTGCTTGACCACAAACATGTCGACGTCATGTATCAGATTCGGTTCATAAACCCAGGTTCATCATGGGACTCCGCACCACCTTCTGTCTGTCCCATTCACTGGCATATTCTAAGCAACAAAGGCAGTGGGTGTTTGCTGAGGGGAAGAAGGCAGAGCCCCCCACTGCTAGGAAACAGCTCTAGCTCTAAGGTGGGCCTGCTGGGGCCGCAGTGATGCAGCTGTGTAGCCACCTGGCTCCCGGCTCCCGGGAGCTAATTCTTGAGTCTCCCATCACGTATCCCCGGTGGCCTGTGGCCTGTATCTGTGAAACACTTGAAAAGTAAAACTGAGCTTTCACAGCATCTTGGACCTGCAGGTCCACCCGGGGCTTTGACCTGACAGCCCCTGCTAGATCACAGGGATGACAGCGAGGACCTTGGAACACCTGGGGGAATGAGCACCCCCCACTCCAGAAAGATATGCACCCACAGTCAGCAGCACGCAGAGGGCATTTCTCGGTGGATTTTCAGGCCCCGACCAGCACGCTGAGAGCATGCTGGAGCACTGTCTCCACGCCCTCAGGGATCAGGCCTAACACTGTGCCCGCTCACACAGGAGTCAGAGTGTGCGGAGACTGTCCCGGTGCCACCTGCAGAAACACTGTATTTTACCAAGAGGAGGAAGTAGAGGACCCGGACTCCGCCTCTGGAGTTCTCTCTTGAGCACCAGAGGCTCAGCGACCGGCCTGGCGGTCTGACCTTTGTAAAGTGGGCCCCGGGGGCTGGTGGTTTTCCAGGGCTGGTTGAGTCCTGCTGCCTCCGCTTTGCCACAGTGAGGGGGCGGGGGGCTGCCTAGAGCCTGGGTCACCCCCGCAGCCTCACCTCATTCTGGATTTTGTTCGTTTAGATCATGGCTGGGGCCATGAAGACTTCTGACCGGAATAACACTGACACGGCTTGGAAGGGCACAGCTGGAAAGATGGCCCAGGACGGTGTCACCACGAAAAGTGAAGGCATGCGGTCACGTGCCGCAGGGATGTGACTGAAGACAGGCCGCGTGCTGCGGCTGTTGGCTGCACCGGGCAGGCCGCGTCTCTCTGAGCAGTTTCAGGACCGTAACAACCCTCTGAGATGGGCGTCTTGGTCCTCGGTGTCCTGGCCCTGGTGTAAGCTTGTTTCAGTTTATGCAAACTGAAGAGCCTATGTTCACTCTCAAAAGTATCCTAGTTTGGATGGTAAAGCACCTATGGTTGCATTAATTTTGTCTCCGTGCAGTAGATAAGAAGGCTCTGCCTGACAGAGGCGGCGGCAGGGACGGGCTAACCCCAGGCGCCCTGACTCGGGACCACGCTACACTATCCCCTTCCCCAAACTCGCAAGCTATTTTTTTTAAAAAGTATTTAAAATTTTATTTCTAGCCTTTAAAAACGTTTTATTTTATTTCATACACATTTTCCGTCGTTCTTCTATTTGTACAATGCACGCTTTCTCCCCACCACCCATTTCCTTCCCTGTTCGGCCCCTCCCTTCCTCCTCCCCTGTGTTTGTTAATAAAGCTAGCAGAACAGACTAGAGTAAGAGCACATGATGCTTTTGATGCTAAACATACAGAATGGCAGGTTCCAAGACCGATGATTATGCACAGCAGAGTCCAGTGTAAGCATGTAACAGGTGAAGGAACAAGACTATGACACAGTCCTTTTCATAACTTTCAATAAGGGTGTGCGAGCTAATCTTTATGTTTGAAGCAGTTGTTTAAGGAGAAAATGCTGAAGGAAGGCCACAATCACAACTGGCAATAAAACTCAATGTTCATTTAGAACTCTCTAGATAAAAATTCTTATCAGTCCTAAGAAAAACCACGTCTGTGTAAACATACGAATGCATACTTGTATGCAAACAACTAACGGTATGAGACTAGATGAACCTTACAGTTTTATAGATAATCAGCTGGAGAACAACAGTGCAGGGCTGTGGCTGCAGTGGGGATCAAAGTTCTGGAGGCCCCGTACCCTGCTACTTCATTGTCCAACTCACCGGACTTGGTCAGCAGATGAGACCTCCACTCACAAAGCAAAGCCCCACCTGTCTGAGCTGTGCTTCACTCAGTAACCCTTCCTTCTGTCCACCTATCCTGTGGTGACTCTGAAGGAGGAAGGGGATGCTGGGGTGGGGTGGGGGTGTCAGAAACCCCAGAAACGTCAGGTCTATGGACATGCAGGGTCTAGATTACAAAATGTATCTAAAATTAAAACGCCTGTAAGATGGAGATAACAGGGAAGCCTGACGAGAGGGCACCTGCGAACTATTTATTTCAAGACCACGGGGAGTCCTCCATGCCCTCAAGATACGCTCTAGTTAGGACCCTAATTTTATGTGTGAAGATGGGGAGGTATGGTGTGGCCTAGAGATGACGTCACCCTTCATCTCAACATCTCTTTAGCTTCAATGCCCAAAGAGGAATCTGACTACATCTCTGTTGGTAGAACTGAAGTTATAATACTACGCAAAGTGGCCCTCCCTGGTGGCACAGCCAGTTAAAGCGCAGCACTGTAAGCTGGCCACAGCTGCTTGGTTGCAAGTTCGATCCCCCGCCCCGGAGGTGACCCACATGGCGTGGAAGATCTCTCCCGACACACCCGCACCTGCTGCTCCCCTCAGCAGTGTACTTGGTCAATCTGCCTGTTCTGCTCCCCACTCTGTCTCTGGTGAATCCTCTCACCACCCCTGCTTGTCTGGCCTGTACCCCAGTTCTGTATGCATAATAAATACATCTTAAAAAAATACTATGTAAAGTATTACATAAAATGGAAAACAAAAACATTTAGCAAATCTGAACAAAATTACAGTGTTAAATTTATAAAAATGATTCATATTATTCTGAAAGGTCAATAAGAGAGTCACATACATTTGATATTCTGCTGAAAAAGTCACATTCCTGACAGACTCAGAGCTGTTCCACCTCAGGGTAAAGTTGTCATCGATGATGTAGACATCAATATTCTGAGGAGATTCTAGAGTGTTTTCCCCTATAAAGGTAACAAAGAAGATGGTAGTTTTGTATATACTATAGGTATTTTAAAAAATTGTATTCTTCCTGCCACATCATTGAGTAAAGAACAAATACATTCAAATATAGCAAATGTCTAAAAATTTATTTCTTAAACCAAAATGTTTGTTGGAGTTGTATAGGTTTCCAGTTCAAATGTGTATTATGAGTCACTGGAGAAAAAAAAAATCTAAAAACAAAACAAAACACCCTAATGATTGTTCTTACCACAGGGAGGCTGCTAATTCCTTGACCTGAAAAAATTTTCTCTGTAGACAATTTATTCACTGGTCTTAGAAGTGATACTGATATAAAGGATACAAGGGTGAACTGCTAACAGCCTCAATATGGCATCACAGCCCAAGTTCTGAGGGGTAGCTGTGCTTCCCAGACCCGAGAGAGAACTGCCAGGAGGGATTTCAGTTCTTCACAGCCATTCCCAGGAGCTACTGTTCATATAATGAAATTGAGAGATAGGAGCATGAATGTTTATCCCTGAGTCAAGTCCCTGGGGGTCTTGAAGGGGTCTTGACTCTCAGAAGCCAGGGAACCGACTGGATGCTGGAGACCTCTCCTGTCTCCCCGCTGCTCCCCTCAGCAGTGTACTCAGTCAATCAGCCTGTTCTGCTCCCCACGCTGTCTCTGGTGAGTCCTCTCACTCACCACACCTCTGGCCTGTACCCCAATTCTGTAAGCATAAATAAATCTTTAAAAAAAATAATGTAACAGTTTATTTTTACATCATTTTGTGCCTTTTCCCATCTCAGTTGTGATCCCCGTGGGTTTCCCATCACAAATCATCTGTTCACCATCACCATAGTCCAGTGCATTCCCCCACACCCTGTTTTTGATCCCATTCCCCACTCCATCCCCATAAAATGTCTCTGGTATATACTGTTCATTATTATTATTTTCTCCCCTGGTCCTTTGTACTCCTGCTATGAGTGAAACCATCTGGTATTTTTCCTTTTCTTTCTGGCTTATTTCACTGAGCATGATCCCTTCCAGCTCCATCCATGTTGCTGCAAAAGGCATGTGTTTATCTTTTTTTGATTGCTGAGTAATATTCCATTGTGTATATGTACCCCATTTTTTTTTTTTATGACCCTGAACTCCTGTGGATGATAATTCATCCCCAGGACACTCAGGCTCTGCAGTAGAGGTTTCCAGATTAGCCTACTCTCTACTCAAGATGCACATTTCTGTGACATGATTCATAATACAAAGGGGAACTTACCCAGGGTGTACATTGAGTGTCTTGTTTAATCAACTAAACTGTTAGCTTCTTTTTTTTTTTTAAAGCTTTATTTATTTATGCATACAGAACTGGGGGGTACAGGCCAGAGGTGCAGGGGTGGTGAGAGGCTTCACCAGAGACAGAGTGGGGAGCAGACTGACAAATACACTGCTGAGAGAAGCAAGAGCAGCTGGCCGGTCAGGAAAGGTCTGTCGTGCCATGTAGGTCACCTCGGGGACAGGGATTGAACTTACACTGAAGTGACCATGGCTCACTTGCAGTGCTGCGTTTTAACCCAGTGTACCACCAAGGAGCATCGTGGTTATTTATGCATGTAAGAACTGTGCACCACATCTTTTTAATCCAGTCACCTACTTGATCCCATTCCTATTGTAAATAAAGCAGCAATAAACATGGGGGTGCAGGTGTCTTTTTGAATTAGCATTTTGTTTTGTACTATATTTTTTAAGAGACCAGCTTTTAAGTGTGCTTCGTGTTCCTTTAGTATACCTAGCCTTTATTTCTGCCCAGGACAAGCACATTATCTCTTTGCAGATTCTCTGCCACTTTCTAGGGTCCTTGTGTAGAACCTTCTTTATTGGGTCTGCTTTCCCTGCTTTCTATAGTCAAACAATTTATGTTCTCGATTAACCTCCTGTATAGTAAGCACCTAGTTATCATTTATCTTTCATGTAACTTATCTACTTTTCTTTGAAAGTGACAATAATGTTCATAACTGAAGGAAAATTTTAACTGTAACCTGTGATCATAATGTTGCTTTGTCTTTTAAAGTCTTAAAAACATTCATACTTTTGAACACTATGAATCAAAAGGAGGACATCTGGAAAATCATTTTCTGGAAATTTTCTAAATTGGAGGAGATAATCCACTGAGTCTCCCACCCTCAAGATCCTGTTTACACTCATGTTTCCTGAAACTTCATCTCTGAACAGAACACTCCCCCTTAGCCCACTTCTCTGGGCCTAATTCTCATCCAGTTGTTAGATCTGGTATGTCCTATGTAGCCAAAGGAGAGCGATTTCAAGTGGGGTATGGTGCCCAGGAGGTTTACAGGGGTTAACAAAAGATCTGGTGGCATCTGTGGTATAGTCTGTCGAGAATATTCTAATTTTACTAATGCCCATCTTTGGTACTCAGCACCCTCAGGAATATACTGCTTCCACTGCAAAATGGAGACCCTGGACTTATTTTAAAGGAATCTTGGCATTCCAGGAATCAACAAATAACTGATAAATTACTTGCTGAACTTGGAAATAGAATTATTAAACAAGGTTTTATGTCTCCTAGACTCTGTATTAGTATTATTAGCAATATTGTTTACTTATTCATGCCTACAAGAACTGGCGTACAGGCCAGAGGTACCGAGCGTGTGTGTGTGTGTGTGTGTGTGTGTGTGTGTGTGTGTGTATGTGTGTGAAAGGATTCAGAGTGGGGAGCATAACAGCATAACAGACAGGTTATCTGAAATACACTGCTGAGAGGAGCAGCAGGCAGGACAGGAGAGGTCTCATGCCATGTGGGTCAGCTCCCTGGCCAGGGATCAAATTCCTGCTTCAGTGGCTGCTGATAGCTTATAGTGCTGCGCCAACCCTTTCCACCACCAAGGAGGGCCTTGAGTCATTTTCTAAGACTAAGGTTCTAGAGTTGCATTTACTAGGTTTAAAGGTATGAATGTTTTTAAGACTGAAAGGTAAAGCAACATTATGATCTCAGGTTAGGGTGAAAACTCTCCTTCAGTTATGAACATTATTGTCACTTTAAAGAAAAGTAGCTAAGTTACATGAAAGATAAATGATAACTAGGTGCTTACTATACAGGTGATTAATGGAGAACTTAAATTGTTTGGCCTTTAGGAAATAGTTTAGTCAGTTAAATCCCAAACCTCTGGGATCAGATTTCTAGGCCTTAGACCTTGGGCAAGGCAATCTCTTAATCCTCAATTTGCTCACCTATAAAATGAGAATATAGTGTGGTGGGTGTTTCTGAAAGCTAAATGAGTTTAAACCTTTAAAACACTTAAGAATTGTGCCTGGCACAAGAGTGCAAAAAAGGCACTCTTAATTGTGCGTTTTATTTCATTTATTTAAGCAGCTCCCTTCTCATCTAGATCTAAATGAGCATCTTGACATACATCCTCCTGGAATGTTAATTTTACGTGAAAAAAAATGGGGAGATTCTTTTTATATTAACATTTACAAGAATTGACATTTCATGAACAAAAGACTCAAAGAAATTACCGTGGGCCCCACCAAGCCCTGGTACACGTATACTATGTCACACTGTTATCTGTGGAATAATTTAAGACTTGGGGTGTCCTGCACCAAATCGGGTGTGGGTTTTCTACACAGTTCAGTTGTCAGAACCCATTAGGGGGTCTCACGACCTCTCCCGCTCGCTCTGGGTGCTAGGGCGGCTCCCCGTTCCCTCCCAACCGCCCACAACAAAGTCAACCATTCAGCTACCTAAGTAGCGAGGCAGCAAGCAGATCGGCCTGCTGTCTCCGGCCTGTGCCTTCTGGCTGAGCATTTCCCTTTCATGATTACTTTCACGTAGACGGCCCGAATCCCCAGGGCAGAGAAATTCCCGCGATCCTGACTGGCAGGTCACCCAGCGCTGCAGGTGTGGGGCAGATGACGCGCAGCGGCAGCGCTGTGGTTTGCAAACACAACCCGTGCGCAGGCTCCCCGCCCGCGGGGGGCACTCCCGAGCCCCGCACCCGGCGGGGTCCCCGGCGCACGCTCCCGCCCGGCGACCCGCAGCCCAGCCCGGCCCCGGTGGGCTCCCGGCAGAGCGCGGTGGCCAGGGGCGCGGGAGGTACAGCGCCAGGGTGCTCGGGCCTCCCCGCACCCCAAGGGTGCTCGCGCCTCGCCCACGGCGCCCCAGGCGCTTACCTGCGCCCCCGGACAGCACCCACGGCAGCCCGGCGACCAGCGCCAGGATCGTCACGCCGTGGAGGGTCGGCATGGTCCGCGGTCGCCGCCGGCCCGCGGTCAGATCTTCCTTAGTCCCTTCTCGGCCACTTTCGGCCTAAGTGTCCAGCGCGCCCGCCCGCAGCCCCGCCCCACCCCTCACCCCGCCCGCCCGCAGCCACGCCCATGCGCGTAGCCCCGCCCCTCGCCCCGCCCCATCCCGCTTCGCCCCGCCCTTTCCGAGCACACCGACCCTCCGCGTCCGCCCACGCGCGCTGGGCGACCCTGGGCGGAGGCGTTGCCCCCACGGCGTAGGCGACTGGGAACGTGATGGGCAGTCCAGTTCCCTCAGGCCATTTCTTTCCTCCTGGCTGCCCACTCGCTGCCTACTTTCCCGGAAGACCGCGCCTCCCGGAAGCCCAGAGCGCCGGGTGGACGCGCCTCGCTAGTGCGCCTGCGCCGCGTCCTGGCCTGGCGTTCCGCTTCCGCCGTTCGGGGGCTCGGCCGGCACTGTAGACTGGGGGCCCCCCGCGGCGCTTTGGGGCACCCGGGTGTTGGAGAGCAATGTTGGGTTGATTGGGGAGGCAGGGATGAGGAAGCTGCTCGGCCGGCCAGGGTGAGTCCCGCGGGCAGGCGCTGTGAGCGGAGGGCGAGGTATCCAGCGTTAAACCAGACATCTTGAGCTCAGGTTTTTTAGGGGTGACCCGGCGGAGGGGGATCACAGGACACTTGGGGTGGTCTCCAAATTGTGGTCGCTAAGCCTTTTGGATTGACGACCTTTCCTGGCAATTTTTGAGCCCACCGTTCCAAGGATTTAGATACTTGGACAGTAGATGGGGTGTATTTCATGAAAATAGCAAGCTGAAAATATACAAAGGATGAGGTGAAATAAGCAACCAAATGCTCAGCTGTTAATTAAGACACCCAAATACTATTTCAATTATGTGGTAGATGAATAATCGCAGAGAACAATGCCTCAAAAACAGCTTGAAAATCTACCTACCGTGCACTTCACTCTTAATAAAACAATGCATGCAGTGAACAATTGCAGATTTTAGGCCTTGTTTTTGAAAAACTCGGAGTATTACTTTGCGACTCAGTGATTTTTAATTTGATTATGAATCAGTGATTTGTTTTAACGACATAGATGGAAAAACTCGAGGGTATATGGAAGCAAATGGATTAAATCAGTCATTCAGATGCTCTTCCCAATAAGTCCTTTTAGTAAAATTCCCTTTTCCTGTTGTCCAAGAGTAGTTCTTGTCAAGAAGTGGCAACAGGTTGCATTTTAATCTTTGGAACATTTCCCTTGAGATTTTCAAGGGAAGTTGGGGAGTTGCCATTACCCCGCCCCCACTGTCTGGCCACATCTTGGCAAGAATGACGTCCAGGCTGTACCTGATCCTTTCTTTTTGATTTTTATTTGTTTACGTTAAAAAGTTTTAAGGGATTGAGTTGTTTCTCAACATTGCGCCGTGACATGCTAATGCTATCCACTTGTTAAAGGTGTTGTTAGTAAAGAAAAGTTCGTCTAAGTTGATAGCACTTGCAGGCACACATGTCCGTGGTCTTTCTCCATCTGAATATATCACAGAAGGAGTCACACCTGTGACCTGCTCTGACGTGGCTTTCTGCCTGTTTGCTCTGTCTATGGATGAAGCGTGAATGAATTTTCCCTGTGCTAACGGTGGAACCTCAGCCTGGAACCTCCTGCCCCTTTATTCAAGTCAAAGATACCCATCAGAGGTAGACTTGCATTTTTTCTCACAAAATATGTTCTTTTTAACTTCTTTTGAAACAATTTCAAATTTAGGGAAAAGTTACAAGGCTAGTAAGGGTACGACATACCCTTTTATATTTACCGCACCGTTTGGATTTTGTCACATTTGTGCTCTCTGTACATATACATAACAAATACATACACAAACTCATTTCCATCCATACATGTAAACTCATTTATATACATACACATACATACCTGGCTATGCATGTATATAGTTTTTCTGGATATCTTTAGCTTTTTTATTAATCTGGAGCAGTTCTTGGCCTTCATCTTTCATGAGATTGACTTTTTTTTTAACTGGCTCATTACTTTATTTATTTAACATTTTTAAAAAAGATTATTTATTCATACAGAACTGGGGTACAGGCCAGAGATGTGGAGGGTGAGAGGATTTACCAGAGACAGAGAGGGGAGCAGAACAAGCAGATCCACGAAGTACACTGCTGAGGGGAGCAGCGGGCGGGTCAGGAGAGGTCTGCTGTGCCATGTGGTCACCTCCGGGGAAGGCGGGGATCAAACTCATGCTGAAGTGGCTTTAGCTTCTTAGTGCTGTGCTTTAACCCGCTGCACCACCAGGGAGGGCCTACTTTATTTATTTTAAAGATTTATTTATTTATGCATACAACAACCGGGGTACAGGCCAGAGGTGCAGAGGATGGTGAACAGAGTGGGGAGCAGAACAGGCAGATGGACTGAAATTCACTGCTGAGGGAAGCAGCGGGGAGACAAGAGAGGTCTTTGCCATGTGGGTCAGCTCCCAGGCTGGGGATGGAACTCGTGCTGCAGTGGCCGCGGACAGCTTCATGGACAGCTTTAACATGTTGAGCCACCAGGGAAGGTCCCAGCTTTTAATTTTTTTCAAAATTTTGTAAAGAACAAGAGTGAATAAGTATCAGATGACTTAAATGTTGTCCCAGTATTCTTGGAGAGCTTTGCTTTTATGTCTTCTACCTGGATGACTTCCCACTACCCTTACATAAACTCTCAAGGTTCAATATAGCTTAGGGGAGATGAATGATTAACAAAGAATGCAAAAACATTTCATAGATAGTCTTTGGAGTCATTGCTGGTTTTTTTGGGTGCTATTTTAAAGGATCTGGTCAGATTGTCCTTGTTTTTACTTCATAATTTGAAACAGAAGACAACATTTTACCAGCAATAGGAGAAGGGTAGATTTTGATGTTCTTTTCTTCACATTTGTTAATGGAACGATCTTTAATTCCCAGTGGATTTACATGAATCTTATCACATCCATTTTCTGAGTATTAGTTTAGTTCAAACTAGCTTCATCATCTCTAAACACGATGGAATCCGTTGTGAATCAAACACACTCTGTCCTGTCTCTAACCATCCTGTTGAGGCTTCTAGGTGAAAACCAAGCAGTCAGACTGTAAGAAACAGAAGCCATCTACTGATGATCGCGAGAGACTCCACACTGCAGCCGTTGTTCTGAAGATTTGTGCCCACCAAGCATATGTGGGCAAATGGACTTCAGAACCAATCCAACAAATCCTACAGCAAGTGACCAAAACTTGGGGCTACTGACTGACCCCTTAAGTCTCCTCTACCCTGATCCTGGAGGAACATCCTTGGGATACCTCTTGGCCATGGGCTAGGTTCCTAATCTCCAACAAATACTCTTTTGGTTATATTACAACATGATCACTTCTTGGTCAAGGACATACTCAACTGGACCAAATAAACAAGTAGACATTATCTAATCACAAATTCCAGAAGTGACCGAGCAAGGTGTTGCTACATGCCTTCCACCTTGGGAGCTTCCACTCTGCTCTCAGGGTGTTGCACCTCGAATATGACATGGGGGCTTCGGATATTTGGCTTAATTGAAGGCCTTAGTACTGGCCAGCGTGGTATGAGTGAAGCTGAATATTCGTAAAGTTGAACTGGCTTCTTACTTTCCATTATAAATAGGATGTTGTTGCACCAAAGTGGACCCTTTATTCCAACTAATCTCCAGGATGGGTGTACCCCACTTTATAACCACTTATTCTAGAATTCCCCAGAAGAATGAACTTACTTCTTTTGGGGCAGAGAAGTGCGTGGAGGAACTGAGTTGCGTAGGCACTAGCCTAGCAGAGGCCCAGTGAGGCAAACCTCAGGCGTGCAGACATCTGAGGCGCCCTGCCCCCCCACCCAAACTCCAGAACTGCCTTTCCTTTGGTGCTTTACCTCCTCACTCTTTTTCTCATCTAAGTGGGCATACCATTAAGTAAAAAATAGCAATAAGGCAAACAGGATAAACACAAGTATTTGGGTGGCAAAGGGTTTGGATTTCAGCAGACAACCTGGAGGAGGCAGAATTTAAGTGGAGCCTGAGAATAGAAGGGGATAGCCAGTTAAAAGAGCCAACAGAAGAAAAAAAAAAGAGCCAATAGGATTCTAAGCAGAGGGAAGGGTTGTATTTGAAGGCTTGGTGTTCAGGCTAGGAAGAAGTGACATAGGCTGTGTAAAGGGAGAGAAAGATAACTTTTTATATGATACGGTGGACGGCAGCCACACCCTTCCCAGCTGGTGACTAAGCATCTCTGAAATGGGACCAAAGCCTGCTAATTGAAAGTATGCCCCGGCCTCCCTGGTGGCCCAGGCATCAGCACTATCAAGCCGTCACCAGCTGCTGCGCAATGAGTTCAATCCCTGGCCAGGGAGCTGACCCACATGGTGCAGCAGGCCTCTCCTGTCTCTCTGCTACTCCCCTTGACAGTGGATTTCAGTGGATCCACCTGTTCTCCCTACTTTGTCTCTGGTGAATCCTCTCACCCTTACATCGCTGGTGTACAGCCCACAGGTTCTTGTATGCATAAATACATAAAAATAGATCTTAAAAAGTATGCCCTGTGCTTGACTTGACCTGGGTTGCTGTCTACCAGCTCCATCACTCTGGGAACTTGGGTAAGTTCTCCCATCCTGTTTCCTGGTGAGAATCGTAGAATACCTATGGAATGCACACAGGTGGATTCCAGCCCATGGTGTTCCATAAATACTGGCTATTCCACCCTCCCCCCACCACTCCCAACTATTGTGGATGTTGCTTTTATTGACGTTAGAAAGGCCTACAGCTCTAATTAGGCTAGAGAAGGACTACATGGCCCCAAATGTCAATGCCCACCCCAACTGTTCTGAAATTTAAAACCTTCTGTACTTACTAAAAATATGTGTCACCACATCTTGTTTTCAACAGATGGCCTCCTGCCCAACCCCCTCTTGCTTGGAAAATTCCAGTCATCAGCAGATCGTACTTCAACTTACCACTACCAAGGCATCAGGCTCCTTTGAACCTGCAGCCACTCTTTCTCTCCTTCCCTTGTCGGGTGGGCATCTTTCAGCCAACCAGTAATAACTT